AAAAAAAAAAAAAACTTTCTCTCGCCCCAAATTAGGTTTGAGTTGAATCGAAGAAAGCATATTCATCACTCCATTCGAAAATGTGAGAAAAATTTCCCAGTTCAAACGAGTGCTAACTGGGAGAGCTAATTTCAAACAACTTACATGACTTGCGGATCTAATTGCAATTTCGATGATTTTGGGATTAATAAGAAAATTACGAAAGATTTATTTAAGGGACTAAGGGGGTGTTTGTTTGCATGCAAGTGAAAGATGAAAGTGATAAAGTTACTTTCATTTAACAATTTAGATGTTGTTTGCATGTAAGTAGTTATGAAAGTGAGATGTAAGAAAGTTGACACATATGATTTAATGCAATTTTGACTTTCTCTTAAAAAGTGGCGAAGCCACATGAAAGTGACAAAAAAGTAACTAATTTAATTAAATGATTTTAATTATATTTTCTAATTAATCTTATTTTGCCACGTCATCTTCACATTGCACTTTCGATAATAATTTAATTTTTTTAAACAAACGCTGTATTTCACTTACGTGCTAATATGAATGTAAAAATTATTTACAAAAAAAATAACTTACATATTTTAAATTTATTTTCAAATTGCCAAACACCCGACATGCATCTTTACCTTAAAAATTAGTCATATTTACCAATGCGGTTTAACTCAATGCACAACCCCAATCCAGAATCCTCAATGTGGGTCCCACTCAAAAAGGCCAATGATCGGGGTGCCGTTACTAGAACGCCCTTGTCCCTTTCCCTTCATTTAATTATAACGCATCCTTGATGAACACGTCGCCCTTTTGCACACGTGTCGGCACCGCCGCGTCTCTCTCCTTTATTTTTTCCTCTCTCCAGAAGCAATCAAACGAAAAAAAGGGAGAGAAAAAAAGCAAAAAAAATGATTTTTTTTCCTCCCTAGGGTTTTAGAGATGATTTATGTAAATTGGGGTTTCTTTATTTGATGGTTAGCGAGAGCGATGAAGAAATCGTTCAAGGATTCTCTCAAAGTACTCGAGGCCGACATCCAGCACGCTAACACACTGTATGTGAGCTCAAAATCCCTTTTTTTTCCGGCGCTTTGATTATTTTCTATTTTTTGAATTTACTTATAATGGCTAAGGAGATTAGGATCGACAAACTTGGTGCATTTTATGAAATTACTGATGTATGGGTCTTGGGAGAGGTTCATCAAAGATGCAAATTTTGCGCAAATTTTCAATTGATTGCAGCTGTTAAGATTATGAGTGGTGTGTACCAAATGTGAGCAGCAAAGAGAATGTTTGAATGCAAGGCGGGTGAGTTGTGAGTAGTGGGTGTGTACAAACTTCATGGGGGTGATTGTCGATATACTGTTTATATGTCGAAAATCGTTGGTGTAGTGTGTTAAAGCTTTGTTGCTCATTCCTTGGGATGTTTCTGATTAGCATTGTGAATCTGAATGATTGTTGGTTTTCGAATATAAGCGGCTTGATGCAATGAAACTGATGCTGACAGCATTTAGTGTGAGTAATTTTATACTAGGTAGGATTTGTTGTTTGGCCCTGTAGCTGAAGCACTTTGTGTATGTGCTAGCTTCAAAGGGGGATGTGTTTTATATACTTGTTATATTTTGGACTTGTGAATGGCGAAAATGGATTGGAGATGTTTAATGTGGACATCCTGTATGAATTTTTGGTGCTTTATCATTTTTCTCGTGCCTTACTCGCCATTCAGATATTGGGTCCATGGATTGTTCATGTTTCATTCCCTAGCTATGGAAATTGCTGTTGATCTGTGGTCTTATCATTGAACATACAATTTGTGAACTACTTTAGAAACGCTGACATTGAACATATATGCAGGTCATGAACCATTTATGTGAAACACAACATAGTTTAGATGACTTATATTTCGTGTTTCTTTATGAATTAGTCCAAATAAGTGTGGCATTTGTGAATGAAAACAATCTCCATCCACTCGGCCATCAATTCTCACTTTGCTTCAGAATCTTCAGGTTGTTTGTAGAAAGCATAACCCAATGAACTTTTTGGTGAAAATTGATTCATGGACGTATACTAAGACTGAAAAAAGCCGACAACCCCTTCTAGTTGAGTGCCCCTCCATCTAGTTGCATTATGTGCACTATAGTAAGTAGACTGTGAATAACAAAAGAAAAGAAGAAGGCGAGAAAAGATGAAGAGAAATAATGTAAGATAGAGAACATGGAAGCAGAAGCAGAGGACAAGATCAATATCAGTAAATATGAGAAGAGTAGAGAACATGGAGAAGAGGAAAAAAAATGAGGAAGGAGAAGATGAGACCACAATCAGCTTGCTAAAAATTTTGGCGCTTCTGTTCTTATTGTTGCTACTAACATATCATCTCATACTACTATGCCCCTAACTATTGCACATAACAGTTAGGAAACAAACTTATAAAAGATAATATAATATTGGCTGCACATATTGTTTTTCAATTTTTAATACTCATTGCTGTACATTTAGGTCATAATTAACAAGTTTATTTCTATTGTTAAGCAAGTGTATTAGAACTTCTTAGCTGGTTTACTGTGGATTTCATTTATAGCTTCTTTTTTGATATATGCTAAGTGACAGGCACGTCTAGGATGGATTCTATATGTGTTGGGCACAAAATTTTCCGGACAAACCATGCATGACTTAATCCTAATGGATAAATGGGTGTTATGCTGCTTTTTCTAATTATAGTGTTTGTACTACCTTTCCTTTTTTACTCTCTTCCACATGTTTCTTTTTTCCTCCTCTTTGTGGCAGTAGTAAGGTATAAGGTAATGTGTAGGATGTGCCCATCTCTCCAGTGTGTTTCGGGCGGAATACGCATTGAGTGCATACTTGAACTGCAGGAGATGTTGGGTTCTTTTCTCAGGACTGATTGATAGATGTGGTTTAGGTTGACTTTGGGTGATGGTTGACTTAGGACTATCTGGTCTGGTTCTAGTTACTGCTCCACTTTCCGATTGGGATTGAACCCAGGTAACAGGGTTGAAAGAAGAATTTACCTTGGAAAGGGTGTCATAGGATGTGGGCGAGCAAGTATGCAGGATTATATCCATGGATAAGCATGCTTTCCTTGCCTGTCATGCATAAGCTATGGTCTGTGACTTGCGGAGTTTGAAGGCAATTTCCTAATATGAGCTCACAATTAGGCTAAGTAGTATTGAGATAGTCAAAGCAGAAACTTGCAGAGAGATTATAAATAAACGTTTTGTTTAAGTAATATCTTTAATACTTTTATTTTAGATAGTTTATAACAGAACTAGACTAATTTTGAAATTACCTCACTTCGTGAAATCTGAAATTCAGAGGAAGGACCATACTGGATTTGAAAATCTTGCGATGAACATTAAACTATGAAAATTTTACGAAATAACTCAATAACTTCCTGACCTTAGTATTGAGCTTCTCTTAGTCCATGTACAATTTGATCAAATAACAAAAAATATAGTTTAAAATACAAATACAAGTATTAAGACTTTTAGGAGTAAAGTGAAAATTTTGTGGAATAAGTTTTTGGGTTGGATCCTAGATGGAAGTGAATACAATTTTATGAAGGTTAATTCCAACATTTTGGGACAACGCTGAATGTTGTGGCAGAACCACTTAAACAATGGCAGAAAAAGTTGAACAGGTAATAATATCAGGCAGAATAACTGAAGAATGAATAACAGGAACATGTGACTAGCTAACCTAGCAAGTTAAAGTGGAAGAACCAGCAAGTAGCAATATGAAGATACAAGTAAGTTGCAATTAAAAGCTTGATGATAGAGATATAAAATAAAGTGACTAGAGAAGAGAGAGCCAAGATCTATGACATGACAATGTGCAATAGTTAGGCCAACCACTTACATCCACTGTTAACAAGCCTCTACTCTGGGATTTGATATCTCCACTGGATCTAATTATTTTCCACCCTATGCTTGTCTTGGCGCTTGCCAACTTCTTTTGGTCAAATGGTTGGACTTCTCACTTGTCAACTTTCTTCAATCCCTAGAGGTTGAACTCTCTCATGTCGAAGGCAAGACGATCTAAAAATACGATTAGAATTGTTGTGTTCTTTTATAAAACAATGAGAACTAGATGAGCACAATTTTCAGTCTCAAGTATAGATGTAGATTGTGAGTATTTCTTAAAGTGAATTGATGATAGCAGTAAATTCACATCTATTGGCACTTGAAGGGAAGAATACCAGGTTGAGGTGGAAAAATGATCAAAAGTGAGCAGAACCTTTGCTAACTAGAGATCTTGTTTTATTGATTAGTGTACATGTTCATATTTTTTATTAACATGTTAATCAATTTTGTAAAACTTCGATGTTACTAACCTTGCAATATAAAAAGAGCAACGAGAAATTTCGAGGAGAGTATGATAAAAATATGAATCAGCTTTACCTGTTAGGGACACTCTTCACTGGACATAGATTGCAATTTGCAATTAATATTACTAGACTGTAGAATGAATAGGCACCCATCTAAGTTAATCTGGGTTAAGATACAAATCTATGTCAAATTTATGAACTTTTGATGTGCTGAAGTTGAATCCAAGCCACAAGGCTTTACAAGCTGATCTTGCAATAGAACAAGAGCAACAAGAAATTCCGAAGAGGGTATGATAAAATATGAATGAGTTTTACCTGTTAGGCACACTCTTCACTTGACACATGCAATTAATTTTACTAGACTATAGAGTACATAGACACCCAACTAAGTTAATCTGGGTTAAGATACAAGTCTATATCAAATTTATGAGCTTTTGATGTGCCGAACATGAAGCCAAGCCACAAGGCCTTTACAAGCCATTGACAAGTCGAGCTTGGTCATGAGCCAACCCGAGCATAGCTCTGCTCAAGCTTTAGAGAGTCTTGATTTTTTGATGAATCTTGATCCATTAATATTGAACAAGTTTGAGCAACCTTGTTCTTGAACCTAACGGCGGCCTGCTTGAGATCAAATTGTTGCCAGATGGACGGTTATTAGGTATTGGATAAAAGGGACTATTGATTGATGGTTAAGAAACTAGCCAACCACATAAAATCTTTATTTACGTATACATCATAACATCTAGATTGATGAAGGTTATCGATCACCCATTGGGATGGTCCATCATGTAGCTTGGTCAATGGAATTATGCGGTTTTTCAAGAGGAACAATAAAGTCATATTATATGTGTATATTCCTACATAAGAGACCTTCCTATGAATGAAATCTAGCTTTAAAAGTAGACCTCATTACAACTCAGTGGTTGACTGATCTATGGATGATCCTTACCATTTGTCTTGCTCTATTCATGTAAGATAATCTAACAATGAGTTCTCTAGTGGGTTCTGATACTTTTACCCATGCACCCCATGTTATCTTATTTGTAGGGAAGTTAATGGCTTTTGCAACCAGTGATCAAGGTGAAATAAGTCTCTAATGCTTAGACTAACTTGGGTGTGTGGATCAAGATGAATGGTGTTGGTCATCTATGCTATGGCCTAAGGGTGTTCTTACTGACCTTATGATGAAACATTTTCATAGGAACTTTTTTTGTCAGTTGATTCAGTTCTCGTATAAGCATAACATGCGTACATAAGTATTTACATATATACATTTGTTTATTTTCCCTTATATAGCATATTGCATATATGCAGAACTGGTTCTGAAAACAAGCATCATATGTGTGGAGATTTTTTATTGAAAACAGATCTGGGAATAAGCATTATGAGTACACCATGGTTGGTTATTCTTTCAGTGGACTGCATTTTTTTATCTTGATTAATACATCTGCAGTAGTCTAAAGGATGAGATAAACTTCCGATTTTTACCCATGCATCAAATGTTCTATGACTGAAGTAATGTATTTACCATAACTAATTTATGAAGGCGAAGGAAGTTTTAGGATTAACTGATCTCATATTCTTTAAACTTATTTGTATATGTTGAACATGGAAAGTGTAGAGCATCTATGAGATGACCTATTGTGGAGTTACAGGAAAGTTCTTACTATTGAGTTCTCATTGGAAAGTTTCCCATGTTTATCAGAAAAAGGTGGGGACAGTTATGATATACATTTAGAAGTTGCTAATTCACTTATTAGTTGCTTTGCATCATTTCTCCTTTATACATTATTTTGGTGTTTTAGTACTTTATTATGACATCTACTTACTGCTTCAAAATCCGATTAGATATTTATTTTTAGGCCCTTACTAAAAAAAAGACATTTTATCCTATGTCTTTAGTACTGTTGGTTCTTTTTCTAATCCATGTCTCATGGTTCAGAGCCTCAGATTTCCCGAGGGACGGTGCATATTTTCAGATGCGTATGTCGTATAGTCCAGCTGCGCACTTATTTCTTTTTCTTGTTCAATGGACAGACTGTAGGCTTGCTGGGTCCCTCGGGCTGCTAAGAATTCTGATATACAAGGTTTCTAGCTAATTATGCTTATATGTTAATCATTCTGTAATATCACTCATTCTTATTTGCATATCTGCTAGTATTATACCCTTAGATCTACCTTGTGTAGGTATATGCTGATGGAGCTACAACCATGTCGACCCATGAAAGGAAAGCAAGTATTAGGGAGTTCTATGGTATATTATGTTGGTTCAGTTTGACTGGAGAACTTCATTCTTCAAATTAATTTTGTTACTTTGTTGATCTTAGAGATTGTTCCTTGACAGGCATAATTTTTCCGTCATTGATGCAACTACAGAAAGGTATAACTGATATGGAAGACAAAAGGCAAAAGGCAATATGCATGGAGAGGTATATGAGAAAAGGTGAAGGTGAAATGAAACTGTTCTCAGAAATAGATGCTGAAAGAGAAAAGGAATGTGGGATCTGCATGGAAATGAACAGCAAGATTGTATTACCTAACTGTGGTCATGCTATGTGCATCAAGTGCTACCATGATTGGTAGGTGCCTCGTCCTCTTATTGTAATCTTTATCTGTGTCATGTTTTCAGCTTTATAATATATCATGTCTGCATCAATAGCTATATCAGATAAATGCTGTTTAATGGAGGTTTTAGCCTTTTAAGTATTATACTCGTTTGCTGAATTTATTTGGAATGTGGAGCAGGTGGGTGTTGGCTTCTTGATTTTGGGGTCAATTAGGGGTATGGCTCTTTTCCCCTTTGCAATATTTATGTTCACGTGGCAGAATGGGTTCCTCTTTTTGTGATATCGAGCCTTTGTGTGGGTGGGTGTGTGGGTGTATGGTGGGGTTAACGGAGTTTGCATGTCAAATTTTATTAGGTTTGGCAGATCCACCCGTGAGATCCACCACTTTGCATGTTCTGCATGTTGCTTAACTCCTCTTTTGAACCAAATCTGGGCTGAAACTTACTCTGTGTACCCAGTTAAATTTGGATGATGCATCTTCAGAAACCTGTTATTGTATAGTGTGTACTGCTTCTTATCCTGCTAATGGCTTATATATACCCATATAGAAATTTATATCTGTACTGTTATCTTTCAGAACTTACTACCGAATCCTTGGTTGGCAAGCGAAGATTAGCTCCTTTACTTGCATAGCACAAAATTGCAATAATTTCAGGATGAATTCACGGTTTATATAGTATTACCTTTTTAAATGAAATGTTGTACCTACTAGTTAGAATATATGGGTAAATGAGAGATTTTAATAGAAGCATGAGGATTTTAAAGGGAAATGAAAATGCAGGGGGGATTTCGAGTAAGCCTTTATATTTATTGCATGAACTGTGTATTAGGTCGTGCAAATCATACTTATCTGTCCAACCACAATCCTTGGTATTTACTGATAACACTTCGGAATACTTCTGAGGGTTGGAAGCTTGCTGCAATTCTTCCTAAGTGGATCTAATCTAACATCGGATGAGACATGTTGAGAATATATTTTCCTGTGCCATTGTCTCTGACTACCTTGAAATAGTCTTAGATTTGAGTGAGATACTATTTCGTATTACGAGTCTAGCGTGCTTTGAGAGAGTTGAGACATTCTTATGCTATAGGGTCTGTTTTGATTTTCCCCATTTGTTCTCTCTGCTTATGGAATGTGATCAATTTACTGATAGCACGGTTTGCAAATATGCCAATTGATACCTATATTGTTGGTTCCGGAGCCTCCTATTCGTGAATCAAGCAGTGTAAAGCTGGTAAATTTCTGTAATTTATGGCCATGAAATAACATGACCTGCTAATTTATGCTATATCGTGATACTATCGTGATACAAGTAAAAAGCAGCCAAGTCAGAATGTCAGATTAAAATGGATTCATACATGCGCGTCGGTGTCAGTTCTCATATCCCAAGCCAAACATGATATGAATTTTGAGAAGTTGCACTTGGGACTGTAAGATCATCTTATCCATGGTACCTTAAAAAGGCCTTCTCTCCACTAGATATGAGGCATTGTGTGATGGTATGGTCAAGGGAAGGAGAATAAGCAGCTTGAAGATTATGTTTATCATATAATCATCTGATATATTGTAAACATGTAATTCTTATTTATCTTATACCCTTTACCAGTAGACATGAGGTATAGATAGAGAGAAACCATGTCTCAGATAGTAGCCTGTTGCCATATCCGGAAGCAGCCCAAATTTTGTCGCTATTTTTCTTGGTCCCAAATTTTGTCACTATTTTTCTTTATTCTCATCTATTTTTCTTGGTCCCGAAGTCTATAGCATGCTTCGTTCTTCACTTCAAAGAACCTAGATACGAGTCCTTTTGTTATTTTTGCTTCAATACCATACCTTACTCTTCATCTTGCCCTTTTATTTTTCTTTAAAAGCTTAATCAGTTTGTATTAAGCACCCTGTTTGAGTATAAATATCTCAAATAAACCAAAAACCGTTTACATCCCACTTCTGTTTGCATTTTCTGCTTCTTATGGTTACCCCTTGAAATGTCTTCAGTAATTTCACACTGTTAAACTTACAAGCTTGTTGTATATCCTTCCAGTAACCTTGTAATTTTACTCTTACCTACTGACAGACACCCAAATTTTCCTGTAGTTTTCTGTGTTACATCTTACATGTTTCCACTTTCTAGCAAACATTATATTTGGATAGTTGTTCCCCGCATGTTCGTACTTATGATGTATCCCTTGCACTATCGGCATCGATTTTCGAGAATTTTTGCAACAACTGGTGAGACTTTTTGTATTAATGACAGTGGCACATAGATATCGTTATCCAATCCTCCTACATCTATATGTTAACGGATAATACACAAGAAAAGCATTAGTGATTGTTGATTCATCGCCAAGATAGCTTACAACCAATAACAGTTCATTATCCAATTGAATGATTGATATTTCCTTTCTCATCAAAATCCATTTACCCATACTCTTGACAGTAGATATGTATGTTTCTACTTCGTAATTAACGGAAAAGAACCCAGATTGTTTTTTCTTTTTGTCTCTCGTCACTAAGTGATATTTATGAAAATAGTTTTTTCATTTGCACTAAAAGAAGCCTGGGTATCGTCTTCTGTTGTTTGTGAAATAATGCATAATTGACTCCTCCATTGTAGGCATTCAAGGTCGCAGTCCTGCCCGTTTTGTCGTGGTAGCCTTGAAGGAATAAACTCAAATGACTTATGGGTATACACTGATGGCAAAGATATCATCGACATGGCAACAGTGACGAGAGAAAACCAGCGGAGGCTTTTCTTCTACATCGATAAGCTTCCTCTAATGCCTCCGGATGCCAACTTTGAATTTTATTATTCTCATGGCAGATGAGTTGAAATGAGATAAATCAACTCGGTTTCTTTATGAGTTCATCCCAAATTCTGTTCATAAGGTTTGCTGCTAGCTGCATCTGAAGCGGGTAGAGAACTTGAGTGCAAATTGTAAATGCGGTCCAGAGAGAGAGAGAGAGAGGGAGGGAGAGAGAGAGAGAGAGGAGAGGGGTGTAAATAATTTTACTGTTTGTAGTTTGGTATGTTTATATGGATGTTGAGACTTCTTTTTTAAGTTGCTGCACGTTTTGCATATAATCTATGTATATGCTGTATCTATCTGTTTTTTTCTTTGCTTGTATTAGTATATTTTGGGTTTTGAGCGCGTAGAAAGTCCTATTAGTATTAGTATATTTTGGGTTTTGAGCAATCATGTATAAGATGCACCTGCAGTCTGGAGTAGGTGTTTAATTAACTCTCAACAAGAGGTATTCTAATAAATTGTAAAAATAAAATTTTCATCGCCAAGATGTTTAAATAGTAATAAAAACACTTCAAGCTCATTGGAATTAAGTAGATCTCTATTTTAAATTAATTGGAAATATGATAAGATCTTTTTTGGAACAAATTTTCAAAACAGTCTTAAACCAGTTTTTAATTTTTAAAACCGACCCATTTTTTTTTACCAAAATCGACCAACTTTTTGCCACGTCAGCTTAATCTCATTTCCTAATTAGTCGGGGTTGTCAACCCCCAACTATTTAGGACATAAAAGATCAGGTTTAAGGCTTCTAATTGGGGTTTAACAACCTCCTAAATAGTCGGGGTTGTCAACCTCGACTGTTTAAGAATGAGATTAAGCTAACGTGGTAAAAAGTGGGTCGATTTTGGTAAAAAAAAAATGGGTCGGTTTTAAAAAATAAAAATTGGTTTGAGGCTGTTTTGAAAATTTGTTCATCTTTTTTGGGATCGACGGTGATTAGAGAAATGATATGTTGATTTGATATCGTTATATTGATAGAAGTGTCAGAATATAATATAGTATATATGTATGTTTTGTAAACAATTTAAAGAAAAGTAAATAAATATGTTGATACTGATGAAACATATTTAGTGATCCGTAGTTCGATTAGGCTATAGATTTTTTTTAATAAATAACGGTCATAGCTTAATTAGGCTATACTTTAATCGGAGAATGACATTGTTATACTAAACTCCCAATAAGTTTCAGAATGCCTTACTATGTTGTTTTCTGGTTATAATTTATGGGGGTTGTCTGTAAAAATGCAGAAAGTTATTGAGAGTTTCCTACAAAATAAAAAAGTGATGGGCTTAGGGCCTGTTTGGTTTAATAGATGGTAGGAATAGGATTAGGAATCCTATTTTTTTATGGATTCCAACCTAATCTATAAAAAATTTCTAGACAAGTTTGTAGTTTTATGGAATCCTATTTTTTTTTTGCATTCTATGTTTGTTTCACCTAATGGAAAAATAGAATCTCACTTTTATAGAAAACCTACAATTCCTAATATCTAGTTTGGTTCAGAATGATAATTTTTAGGGATCAACACTGTAATAACGGCTAGTTCCACCGAAAGCTCCACCTGAAAGCCAAAACCCCAAAACAAGCCAAAAACGTCATAGACTCGTCACGTTGGTTTCAATAACAAATCGATAATCGCTTATCATTAAGGAGTCTTGATGTGACTTATTATTAAGAATCATCGTATTAGCACTAATCACATTAAGTTCATTACTTTCTGGCACTGATTCTTGAAAGTGATTTAGTGTCCACTTCAGCCGTTACATGTTGGTTGATCAATTATTGTGAATTTAGAACTTTTTCACTATGGGGTTGTTTGGTTCGCTATTATAAGGAGTGAAAAACTCAGAAAACCTCTCCACGTTAGATTTTTAGCCAGCCACGTCAGTTTTTTTGTTTCCGTCCATTTCTTTGTGCCGCTTTGGTTCGCTCGGATGGAAGAGGGAAAACTCTGCTGAAATCGCCGCCAACTAAGATTTTTTTCCCTCTCCGATTTCCTTCCCCAACCAAGTGAAATTGATGAAAACTCTGCCACGTCAGATTTTTTTTCCTTCTCTGCTTTGTTTACAAAAGTTTTCCTTTTTTTTCTATGCGAACCAAACACAAGAAAAATAAATACATTGGTTTCCCACCATTCTTTATGTGCGAACCAAAGCAAAACAATCTATTTCTTGAAAAAGTTTAGAAAACTCAAAACTTGTGTTTCTTTACATGGAATTATATTTCTCTATATCAAGGAAACGAAGCAAACAGCCCCTATAAGAAAAAGACGTACATAATTATTTGCATAAGTCATATTTAAATGGGGTTAAGATCGTATTAATAATGATACGACGCACAACAAGATCCATAACGTCATGGACTATTAGTTAACATACCGACCAAATGCCCAAGAAAAAAAAGAAAAGATTTTGAACTTATAACGACACAGCTTGTTGTCCGCTTGTCATCATCACATGTGTTATATTTTTCAGTTTTATTGTTAAATTAAATTAAATCAAAAATAAATAAAAAAGAAAAGAAAAAAAAGGAGGAAATCTTGAAATTATAGCAGATGAGTTGTGTGGCTCCACATTCAACTCAACATATTGATGGTGTTATATTGTATTTCCTTCTTTTCTGTTTTTTTCTTTGTTAATGTATGATCCCCCCCCCCCCCCACCCCCCCCCCCCCCCCCCCCCCCCGCCCCCCCCCCTCCAAAATTGTGAAAGGAAAAATGGTCAACTGCATATAATCAAGGGTAAATTACACTAAACCCCAAATCACTATTCTTCAGCAAACCCCTAAAACATCTAAAATCACACTAAAACCCTAATAACTATCGGAATTGCAGAAAACCCTCAATAAGTTCCCGCATTTTGCAAATAAACCCCAAACGACATAAGTCCATACTACACGTTGGCAACACATATTAGGTCCTAAATTGTGATTTAACACCTCCATGGGGCTATCTGCAATACATGAAAACTTATTGGGGGATTTTGCACAGTTCCAATAGTTATTAGGTGTTTACTATTATTTTAGAAGTTGCTAGGGGCTTTGCTGAAAAATGTTAAATTTTTTTGGCGTTTAGCGTAATTTACCCTATAATCAATCATCATACGTTATTCAGTGGCAATTATCCCGCCCCTGGTTTGTAACTTTTAAAAATTGGATCACATGTAACCCTTCCCTCCCCTCACTCATGAATTCTGGGGTGTCAAATGCAATTAGCTTGAGGTGCAAATTCGCAAATAATTTATTCTCCGCACGTTGCGGAGTAACAACCTCAGAATTTGTTTGCTGCCCATAAATTTTTTTAGGAGGACTAATATTAGAAGTTACTTAATCTAGAGGGACTAATATTAGAATGTGCAGGTTCTCTAAATAAATTAAAGCCCAATCAATCTCTGCCCTCTAAAAAAATTATTACAGAAAGACCCCAAAGGTTGTAGCTTTTTTCAAGGCCGGGAGGAGCAAGGAGATCTCTTGCCTCTCTCTCTTCCTCCTCCTCTAAAAACACCACCTTTCTCTCTTTCTCTCTCTAAAAACGCCCCATTTTTGTGGAGAGAGAGAGAGAGAGAGAGAGGGATGGGAGAGAAACAGGACAGAGAAGGAGTAATGGCCACAGATTTCTTCTGGTCTTACACGGATGAGCCTCATGCATCTAGAAGGAAGCAGATCCTCTCCAAACACCCTCAGATCAGGGAGCTCTTCGGCCCTGATCCATGGGCCTTCCTCAAGGTTTGGACCCATCGCCTACATTCTCAGCCTCTCTTTTCTTTTTTGAATATATATATATGTATATATATTATATATATACTATACTATATTATAATATACGTGTTATTTTTCTATCTGAGGCTGATCTGGGCATCGGATGTTTTTGGGTCTGGATTGATAAAGACTTGAGTTTTTGCTCGTGGGTTTTCCGGCATTGTGTCGATTCTCTGCGGACGCTTTTAATTCTGACAGGAATCTGGTGTTTGGTTCGAATATGATCTGATACGTTGATTTACAATGTGGGTATTGGATATTTCTGGGTCTGGTTTGATAAAAATCTGACCTTGATGAGGCTTTCTCATGATATATGCGGATTTGCTTCATGGGTAGTTTTGTAATGCGTTGATGGAAATTTCGTGTTTCGCTTGAATCTGAGAAATGCGTTGGTAATTAAGGTGAAACCTTTTTTTTTTTTTGGTGTAGATTGAGTCTGTTATAGATTTCGCAGGTATTGGTCCGTGGGATAACTCTGGCTTTAGATTGAGGAAGTGCAATGTTGATGGATAATTTGCTTATTGGTTATGGGTATGACAATGCTTATAATACCTTTCAACCTTGGCCAGGCTGAAAGCTGAATTGTCAATGTATAGGGTGTGATGAAGCCGAAAGGGACACCTCCCGCATGAATCTAATCCAAACCTGAGTAAAAAACTACATTGGAGGAATAATCTTTATATCCATATGTATAAGTCTAAAATTGGAAATGATGTGCATGACTCTTTTGCCTCATCTTGAAAAAATAATAGATAAGGCTATAAACATATCATAGTCAATACTATGCACTATCTTCGAATGCACTAACTGATTGGAGCGCAATGCTTATGAGTTATAACCACCTTTCTTGGCATTTACTTCATTTCATGTGCTCTTTGCACCAACAGGCCCCTTTCTAAATCTATCTATCAAGCGAAATGGGTCGTAACTTTTATTTTCATTATATGGTCAATTGAATTGAGATCCCTAAACTTGAATCTTGAATTGATTGTAAAGTGAGCTGTGAGATAGGTGTATTAATATGATTTTATTTAGCATGTAAAGCTTGTTAAATTAGCTGTAATTGAACATGCAATGTGTGGTAAAATATCACGTTTTACTATTGTTCTAAAAATGCGTTTTTTTTTCATGATATCATGCATTCAGGATATCAGATTCTATTTTACGAATACATTTTAGAATCTAGTCAAAAGTCTTATATTTCCTGAATCCTCATGATATAGGGTCTAGTTGAAATCTTTTTCTGAAGCCATTTTAAATTTTAGCATATGATATTTGGAGATTAGACCTGATTCAACCTGATAGTGCTCATGATTTATCACAACTCTGTTTACATCTGAAGTTTTATGAATTTGCTGGTGATGCTTTTCTTCATGTTAATTTCTAGAGCTTCCATCCCTTTTGATCCCTCGTTTGATTTAAATCTTCTTCACTGTTTCAGGCATTTTTATAGCAACATCACTTAATCTCATGAATTAACTCGTGAAAACATATTAATGGATAAAAAGAAGGGGTCTATTGTGGATAGACCTCCTGTACTGTCGCCAAATTGAACTTACTACTCATGTAGTCGCGTTGCTGCAGATAGAAACCAGATTAAAAGTTCTTTTAACCCTTTTTAAGCGGTCTATCTGCAACAATATATTTTTACTAGGGGGTCTGTCTGCAACAGTAACTACATGGGAAGTAAGCTCAGTTTGGAGATGATAGAGGAGGTCAATCCACAATAACCCAAAAAGAAACGAAGAAGAAAAAACTCATGAGCAATTCAACGTCGAGCTGCTTCTCCCTTTACTACGGAGTCCTGAAATTTGTTCTCTCTTGCAAAAGACTATTTGGTCACTGTCAATTGGAACTATCGAATCAAATACATCCGAATGGTTTGATGACTAATTTGTTAATTACTTGGGGCTTTCCCACCGCTAACGATATTCCCTTTTTTGGTTGCAGATCACTGTGGTTGTTCTTCTTCAACTCACGACCGCGATTCACCTCCGCAATGCCGGCTGGCTAAAAATGTTAACCATTGCCTACTTCTTTGGCTCCTTCCTCAACCACAACCTCTTCCTCGCCATCCACGAGCTGAGCCACAATCTCGCCTTCTCCTCCCCTGTCCTCAACCGCTGGCTTGGCATCTTCGCCAACCTCCCCATTGGTGTCCCAATGTCCGTCACCTTCCAAAAATACCACCTCGAGCACCACCGCTTCCAGGGCGTCGACGGCATCGACATGGACGTCCCCACCCGAGTCGAAGCCCTCGCAGTCACCAACTCCTTCACAAAATCCATCTGGGTCCTGCTACAACTCTTTTTTTACGCTCTACGCCCTGTTTTCCTTAAACCCAAACCCCCGGGTTTATGGGAATTCACCAATTTAGGCATTCAAATTGCGTTAGATGCAAGTCTCGTCTATTTCTGGGGTTTTAGATCCCTTGCATATTTGATCCTCTCAACTTTCGTTGGAGGAGGAATGCATCCAATGGCGGGTCACTTCATCTCTGAGCATTACGTGTTTCACCCGGAGCAGGAGACTTATTCGTATTATGGGCCTTTGAATTTGATGACTTGGAATGTTGGATATCATAACGAGCATCATGATTTCCCCAGGGTTGCTGGGAGCAGGCTTTATAAGCTTAAGGAGATTGCTCCAGAGTATTATGACAACTTGGAGTGTTATAAGTCTTGGAGTCAGGTTATTTATATGTACATCATGGATCGGACTGTTGGACCGTTCAGTAGGATGAAGAGAAAGGCGTCGAATAATGATGGAGCCGCGAAGAAACAGAAGTAGAAGGCGGCAGTGATGATTGCCTCTGTGATTCGAGATTCTTGATTGGGATTGTTGTTTAAGTACGTTGGTTCGCTAAGGATCAGAAGGGAACTTCTTGATCATCCATTGGTATTGTTTGAGAATCGCATGTCTTTAATTCTTTTCTCGAATGTCATGTTTATAATTTAAACTAGAATTGAACCTGCACTTCTTTTATGCATATGATTATTTATCGTTGTGGTCTGGTTGAGATTTTTCTTGCATATTCTCTTTTGCCCATGTTGATGCAAAGTTTGGTTCATGATATTGAACAAGGAAAATGCTAAGTGTACTGCAAGAGTGTACTACTCGTGTATTACTAGACACAAAGAAGTGGGGTCCTCATAATTTCTCTTTGCAATTTACAAGAAAATGCCCCACTTTTTGTGTGTAGTAGTTATTTTCTCTTTCAAATGCTTGTTTAAAATGTTGCATTATTCCTATATGATTCAAGATTTTCCATTGGTATAGTTTGTTAAGCATGTTGGTTATAGCTTTATTAGGGGTCAGAAGGGAACTCCTATCAGCCATTTGTTGTACTGTTTTCTGAATTGGATCTGTTACCTACATTCTTTTATCAAATGTCATGTTTCTAGTGTAAACTACAGAATGAGGCCTGCACTTTTGTGCAGATGACCTTTTGCCGTTCTGGGCAATCTGAGTTGCTGCTTGCATGCTCACTGTGGCCCGTACCGATGCAAAAATTGGATGCCATGACGTTCAACAGACTGAAGGACGTAATTTAGTGGTCTGCTAACAATGAGAGGACCCATCTATATCATTCTAAATTTCTAATAATCTCAAGAAAGTAGCACAGTACTTTCAAAAATTAATGCTGATAAATTCTGCTTGTTAACTGAGTAACTGTTTCACCAAATTAGACAGATGAACATGAAGAAGAACTAAGGGACTGCAGTAGCTTTTCATTAATTAGACTTCAGTGGTATAGAATGAACAAATAATAGCTTATATAGACAGAACAGTCTAGTACAAAAAACAGGTGATTTAAGACATTGGTCCTTAAATTCGCAACTTGGAGAGGAGAGGCATAAGTAAATAATTTAGGAAATATTTTGTATGCTGCAAGCGCAAATACCGAAAAGTTGCAACTAAGAAATGTTTCATATGTTGTTTGTTGTAGAAAACTAATTTTCCAATGCAAATTTCCTTTTTGGAAAGACAAACTAACGTCCAAACTGACTACGGGGTCAGATAAAACTGGCTTGACAGACTTGGATGCTGCAAATCAAAGGAAATTTATGCGAAGAACAGTGGCTGAAAAGGATTCCTTTCGCGAATTGTTATTCGAAGATTCCATTATGAGGAGGAGTTCAAATCCATTATCAAAATTCTTGTCCAATTCCCGTGCAACGGTTATCCTTCCCTGAGCAGTATCCGACTGAAGAGGGAAAATGGCTGTTCGGATTCAGACAGGTTTGAGGGGATGGATAAGCATGTAGGAGGAATGCAGGAGAGCTTGGATAGTTTTCAGATACGTACTGTTGGCGGTTGTGGTGGTCTTGACGATAGATGGCCAGCGGTCGCAGGCCTGATATGATATCACAATAGCTGTCATCTCTCTTGATACTACAGTGAGAAGAAAATTTCATATGTTGTATGTGTCAACAGTGTGTATAAATGCACAGATATTTCATTTGCTGAAAGCATTAGCATCGTTTTCACACTGTTTGACTGATATGTTTGAATCGCGAAAGATCATTTTTCACAAAAACATCAAGTGATTTTAAATTTCTTATTTCATCGTGTCTAAAGAAATGTCTTCGAAGCACACATTTCTGATTGAGAAAAATTTTGCTCCTTGACAAACAAGCGATGCATACAATTTAGCCATGCGAAGAACTGGCTATGCGAGACTTCTTTTTTAATTTGGGAAGGAATCTGACTACTTCTGCTTCTTTGTAATCAATGGTAGAAGCCTCAATGCATCGCCAAAACAATCGGAGGAATCCCTTCACTTGAAGAAGTGGAAGCCTGAACCTCTAATTTGAGGAATGCTCCTATTGCTTATAGCATGAGCCTGGCCCTCTCGGGGCCTCTCGACCAAGTCCGTCGAGTGGTGCAGCGGGAACCCCTCTCTGATTCAGCAAGCACCGGAAATGAGCCAATCTTCCTGCGATCAACTCTGGATCCTTTGCCAGCTTTTCCAATGGACTCCACAACCGTTCTGAACGACACAAGAGATGCTCGACGTCAGCATATTTTTCTATGAAAAGTGAGAAAAATGCGATAGAGTGACTTGAAGTTAACGATCATGTTCCTTGCTAATGCCGTATTTAATGAAACTTTTTTAAATGAAGAGTTACTTATGTTGCACTAGCTGATGATGGTAAGGGGAGGATAACCAGGACAGTAGATAAGCAAATTGCAGGACTATATATATGCCACTGAATAAAGAACTCAAACTAAAAAGAGCATGCTTGTACTTTTTGTTGCTCTTTTGCTTCTGTAGAATATGATAGAATGACAATATGTAGAAGAGGAAAAATAAGGAAACACCTTGAATCCATCGTTTTTGTTGCCCTCAGATGAGGAGATATCTCAGCAATGCTGAAGAACAGCAGTGCATAAAACTAACATATTTGAATAAGTTTCAGGAAACAATCAGAGCTATGCTGAAAAAGATTTAGCATTAAGATTTTAGCAGTTGAATGATAGAAACATATAGAAGAAAGCTCATTTTTCTTAGAATCCAAACAGCATCAAGGTTGGTTAGCAAGGTCAAATCGCAGAAAGTACATCTACTCAGAAATTATTTTACGCAGTAAGAGATCAACCTAAGCCAAAAAAGTAAGGATCCAATGAGAAATCAGTAAACATTTGAAAAAGAAGCTAACACTTCGGTTATTGCATAGCTTAGTATCTTCCTGTATGATTATTGGGTATTTGCTATAGAAATAACTTAAAAACTAATATATTACCTGCTGCAGCTGCAGCTCGTGGCCAAATAGTTTGTTGTATATCTGATGCATCTATGTGTTCGCCCCACATGCACACCTCACCACCAATAACCAACTTCTGCTGTTCAGGTCTAGAGATGTTCACAAGAGGTTCATTCATATAAAACCCTTGCCATGTTGCGTCTAAATGATCCAGGTACCACTTATCCTGGTTGCTCACAATGCACCTTAGCCCAGCAGCAACTACCTTTTCAGCAACACCGCCACCGAGCCTTATATAATCAACAAGAAATAGTTGCCAGTTATAGGTGAATTTTCATTACTCTTAGTACTCGACAATTGTTACAGAAAATGATATTAATATATTTCTCCCACTTCAATTAATTCTACGATAGTTTTGTAACATATGGCTGCTGAAAAGTTTCTTGAAAAGTAACCAAAAAAGAGCTCTGCGTGACCTTGAACATTTGTAGGCATGCCCATAAACACCCACAGGAGCCTAGTATCTCTCATTTCTCAACAGCTGAACACTGGTGGCGGGCGAAAAAATATGGCCATTTCTGCCGTAGACAATTTTCTATTATATATGACATCTATTCAGTTAACTAGGCAGTATTGGGCTTGGAAAGACATGATTAGTGAAAATAAAGGAACCAAATTTGACCATGCAGTGACAGGCTATGCATATCATAATCCACTGGAACTTATTTTTGTACTCCCTCTAAATAATTTCCAAAGGTTTCAAAATCAACTAAGTACTGTTGTTGTTTTTCCCTCGTAGTTTGTTAAACTCCATGCAGGTAACAATTTTATTTGTTCCTTAACCCGTTCAAAACTGTAATTCGAACTTAAACATTACCCAGTTAGCCTAATAACGACTTTAGAGAGATCGCACAAAATCATGTTGCTAGTATATGTCTTCCTGGGCTATGTTTTTAGGAGTAAAAGACTTCACTCTGCTTGAATCCATATTTAATTTACATAGTAAACTTTCAGTACAGCGACAAAAAAAAAAGAAATTCTCCACAAAATATGGAAGAATTACAAATTTGGTAGAAGAATATTATGGTAGAATATCATGAATGCTTGCATTATATGCCGATTTAATGGTGATTAGAGAGAATAATGAAAGGTGATACTGATGATTGGAGAGAACCATGGAATGATAAAGTGACTTCGACAACGGTAATCAGAGAATCATGGAATGCCATGGTTCTAGCTCAAGCCAGCATTTCATAATAGGCTTTGTGTTTTCTACATGTGTAATGTGCCCAAATCAATATTTTTTCCCCTAAACATGAGGTTGTACCTTGGATAAAAAACGCATGCTGATGGATTCATTATTTCATTTCCTGCTAAGCGTGTAAATTTTCACTGGAGAGAACTACAGTAAAACGTTTTTCTTCCTAAAGATAGCCAGCAAGGAGATTGCAACCAGCTAATCTATTCCAGGTGCTAGCAAATCAAATGACATGTACATTTCATTGAAAAGAGAGTATCTCTGGGGATGGAAGGGAAATTACATAAAGAGGAAGAAATCAGAATAGAGGACTAAATACAGAAAGTAAGCATCACTGTACGTACAAGTGGTTATAGCTGTGCAACTCGCAACTAAATTATTTGATCCAAGAGCCCAGTCATCATTTTAGGTCTTTAACTGTGAAAAACAAATTATTTTACTACCCTAACAAATTCCTCATGTTTGTTTTTCAAATGCCAGTCCCATGAGTGGCTATGTTTAAAGGACAGTACTAATCTTCGTATGGCCGCTGAATGGACAGCAGGATAATATATTTCCAGCCAAATACTTTGGCAATATTTCCAGCCAAATACTTTGGAAACATATCTTAAAATTTAGTGTACTTAAGAGAAGATACCAGATAATACATATGATAAGGGTATGCCTTACATCCTTTGATAAAATTGAGATAGATGAAAGAAGGAACAACACAAAGTTAAATATGATATAACCTATATAACTGGTGAATAGGGCAAAGATCTTATACCCAGGTGTGGAGCATGCAAGAGTGAGAATGAGTTTTTGAGGATAATCCAGACAGAGCCAAAAGCAGAAATTAGTGAAGATCAGAGTATATTACCAATTGTGCACCACTGTTCGAGGATTCAGTTTGTTTCCAAAATTGTTGAAAGTCTCCTCCCTGCTCCTCGGGAATAAAAAAAATATGAGAAACAAACTATAAAGAGAAAAGGACTCCAGAGGAAGTTTCCCTACCAATTAATGACCTCATATCCATGTGATAATGCAATTTTCTGAGCTCGTAGGACGAAATATTCATAAGCACCAGATTCATCCATCTTATGCTGCTTTAACCTGCACAGAGTATTTGGTAAGACATTTGAAATTAGAAACTGGCAATATGGATCCTTTGTGTGAGGTGCAGAGTGTTGGATATAAGACTAATTCATGAAACGAAAAGGAGCACCAGCAGTCAATTCATGGTGTTCAAAAAATTATCACATTTAGAGTCTGGTTTTTTTTCTTTTTCTTTTTTTTTGGCGCAATTTGTGAAGTATAAAATTATTCTCCAAAAGCCATTGTGTGAGGAAACTGTGCTGCGTGGTGAATGATAATAGATTTCTCTAAATATCCAAAGGAGAGAGGACAAGTTCAATCCGCACTCTGTCATTAAGTTCCCAGACGTAATAAAATGTAATCTCTAGTTACTAGGTCGATGATTTACTGAGCAATCATTTTTTATAGTTTTAACCTCTTGTGTGTGTGTGTGTAGACTTTTATGCACTAATATCAAGATGAAGTTATATTTGGGTGCTTAGGATTTTCCTAGAACTTTAAGGACCATTAAAATGATGATGGACTGCTTAATTTGTAAGTTAAACTGCTAAATTCTAATATCTTAAATTACATATAAGAAGCAGCAATACAAACTCGTAATTAAAAACTTCATGGAAGCATCAGAAGAGAAAGCTTCTTGGCCTTTGACCTTCAGTCAAGGCATTTGAGATGACAACGTCAAAAGTCAATGGTTCTCAATCTAAACAGCTCTTGGTTAAGTTTGCATTGATGGAACTTGGAACTAGATTCTGCTAAATTCATCTATGTGTAGCCCCCATACTGATATAGTGTGTTACATCTCTCTAAGTTGCTAACTTTTAGCATTTATGCTTGAGATACTTTGGTCCCTCTGCACTACTGATTATAGTTGTGTCAGTAAAAGATACCATTTCTATGAAATCACTTCACTAACAGGTTGAAAGTTGAAACTTGGAGACATTATTGATGTCTACAGGACTGCAGACTTGTATTAGGATTTTGCTGGGAAACTGTGAAGCTATATGATGAGGATAGTCCCATCTCCAAATGCTTTTGATTTCATCCTTTTCAGTGGAATATGACTGTCGCAGAAAGAAGGGTACGAGTTTAATAAGAAAGATTGGGTCTTCTATGGAAGAAAATTTTCTATATTTTGAATTTTTAAGAAAAAGGATCTTGCCTTATTTATTAGGTGTCTATTTTCGCACTAAAAATTTGTTGCTAGAAAACCAGTATTACTGTTTTCTAATTGTCCAAATATAAATGGAATCATTTCAAGAGGAACATACCATTCCCGTACATGAGGAGTTATTGTCCAACAACCTGAAATTGTAATAAGAAAAAGGTGCTTTAGAAAAATTTGCATCACATGTACGTTATTTCTGGTATCAAGACTAGAAATATGTGTTTTGAGTGCGAAAAAAGAAAATGTTTGTCCCAGTGGAAATATGAAATTTCTGAATAAAATGTTAAGCTTGCTCGATAAACGTTATACACCCACAACAAGAAAAGATGAGCTTTGACTTTGAAAGAATGATCATATAACATGGTATTGGGGTGAAAGTTCTCAGTTTATAACAATTTCAGTTTATAACCTTTTCACTGACAACTTAACTATATTATAGTATTAATATTATAAAAACAAGGGCTTGATTTTTTTCCTGCTTGCATCTGTGGGAGTGTTGTGTATGTGCATGTTGCTGTTTGTGGGCGTCCATGCTCACCCATTATGTATAACATTCCATGCTGCGTGAAATGGTTTAATTGGAACTCAATATTTAACCTTCTAGAAGGAGTGATTCATAGTTATTTGTAAGTAAGTATTCAAATAGTGAAATGTAACCTGAATACGTTTGAGATTCCTCAAGATTTTATGTCTTGGTTCCAAATTATAATGCTTTCGCTTGACGGAATGACGCCATTACTTCTTATCCTATGCTGATTAAAGTAATTCTAGTGTTTAAATTCAAATTCCCTCCCCAACCCCCCACAAAAAAAAACACACTCTCTTTCCATGTGGGTTTAAAGTATAAGTTACAGAGAGAAATGAAAAATATCAAAGGTAGAGAGACCTAAATGAGAAGAATGGCATAATTGTCCAGAATATTGTATGGGGACCTTCAGTATGAGTCTGATGACAACTAACCCTTGAAAGAGGAATAAAACGGATAGCAATTTGAAAGATTATACTCTAGCGGTAGCAATGAAATTTGAAAATGAACTTAAGAATAGTTTACTGTACATCTCCCTATTCATATCTTACTTTCTGTGGAGAAAAAAAATTCACCATGATTATAACATCGACATAGATGGCAAAACTCACAAATTCATGCGCTCATCAGCCGGGGGGCGGGGGCGGGGGGGGGGGGGAGGAAAAAAAAACAACAGAAAGCATAATTAACTGGAAAGTTAGATTTGTTTCTCTCGAAAACAGAAAAAAGGGAGGAAAAAGGTAAACATAAGACTTACTTGTATTAACTTCATCACCTCCCAAGTGAACAAATCTGAACTTAAAGACCTTGCTAAAATCTGAAATGTTCAAACAATAAAGAAATTTCTTTCAAAGGATAATAATAGTTCACCAGAGAAGTCATACTTTTGAACGACAAATATACTACAGAAATGTTTCTCATGTTAAGATGGCGACTTGATGTAATACACAATACACCAAAAATATTCTACAAGTATACAAGTTACTAGGAAAGAAATTTGACTCTGTTGCAACAACCAAAACTACATGATGGTCACCACCAAAAATGATTTACACTGTTCACGTATATGGTAATGCTATGTAGAAAGAGTGACTATATATAGAGGGTTTGATGGGTATGAGGTGGCGGCTCCTTTAGCAAAATGAGCTACCAAGAGATAGATTGGTGAGACTCACCCCTTTTCATGTGACAAGTAGGGTGGGCCTCACCACATGACTATCTTTTTGTAGCTCATTTTACTAAATGAGTCACCACCTCATACCCATTTTTTCCATATACATGTGTGTGCCCATGTGCGCGCCTGTAAACCACATCAAATGGTTCCGGGTTGAATGTTCTTCAAATAATTGAATAAAAGGAATCGTATGATAGGTGGATTTGCACTATTCCTACAGTTGTTATCAACAAGTTGCAATTCTCTCATAGCGGAAATTGCGAAAGGATGGTCATGATTGCTACATGACAGAGCCCGCTTTGCATGATACTCTGAATTTTATTACATATATCCTCTCCTCGGCCCTCGCTAAGTGGATGCAACAAATCTTTCTGTACCACATAAATCAGTTGATTGTGTTTTAGTATTTATCTTTCTTTACTATTCAATTTCCCCGGGTTTTCCCTAATTGGGCAGTCTTACAATTCCAACGCTTCAATGTGCTCATGATCGATGGTACAAGGAAATTAACTATTATTAATGCATTCAATTAGCAGCTGATTCCATTGACACAAGAGTGTTGTGCATTAAGCATTACATGAATATCGATCTTAATTTCACAATGGATCAAATACTTTTGGGAGGAGAATTCATCAAGTTTAGAAAATTCATGTATTTATATACTAGCGATCTGGCTAGTAACTAACAATAATTTTCCATGAATCACTTTGTAGGTTTCATGTGATATGTTTGAGTGTTTAGGTTTTGGCATGAGTGCACTATATACAGGTTAAAAGTTTCCTTTGACTTCAAGTGGGACAAAAAATTTACCTGAAAGGATCCCATCTATCACTTTGAATGTGGACTCCTTACTAACATCCAACGGCTGTTGACAATCAGTTGATGGCCACAAATAAGGATAACCCTTACCCCTGTAAAAGAGAGTTGTGAAAAAACTTGAAAACCTTTTTTGTGCTGTAAATGACAGGATATTCTAACTCATAGAACTACAATAGATATTGAAACTATGGAGTTTAGGCTCCAAGCTCAATCTTCAATGCATATATCTTATTGAAACTTTAGTCATGCAAGGTTTTTGTTGTTGTAAATGGTCTTAGGCAGTGATCACTTTATATTGTTTCAGTTTCCACTGCGTATTCATGTTTTGTATATTGTTCTGGGCAGGGCCGGATGAATGACTTTCGGAAAGTGGTGTCACAACATAATAAGCTAAAAAGTTTGAACCTATCCTTGACAAGTTTACCCAAAAAATATTGTCGAAAAATTAGGATTAGCAAGGTTAAAGATGCTCTAAAGAAAATAAAAAGTCGAAGAACCGTAGGACCGGACGATATCCCTATTGAATTTTGGAAATGTCTTGGAGATATAGGCTTAGGATAGTTAACTAAACTATTTAATAAGATTATCACGACAAAAAGAATGCCGGATGAGTGGAGAATTAGTACGTTGATACTGATATACAAGAATAAAGGAGATATACAAAGTTGTTCGCATTATCGATGTATAAAACTCATGAGTCATACTATGAAACTTTGGGAGAGGGTAATTAAGCAAAGACTAAAAAATGAGACAAGTATATCTAAAAATCAATTTGGTTTTATGCCCGAGAGGTCAACTATGCAACCTATACATATTTTGAGAAGGTTGATGAAGAGATATAGAGAAAAGAAAAAGGATCTACATATGGTTTTTATCAATCTAGAAAAAGCTTATGATAGAGTGTCTAGAGAGGTAATGTGATGGGTGTTAGAAAAGAAACATATATCTAGTATATATATTAATGTGATTAAAGGTATGTATGATAGATTAACAACTAGAGTAACTAATAATGGAAAGACTAAACCATCTTCAATTATCATAGGTTTACACCAAGGGTCAGCGTTAAATCCTTATCTTTTTACATTAGTTATGGACCAACTTACTAAGCACATTCAGAATGAAATCTCATAGTGTATGTTATTTACCAATGATATAGTGTTAGTTGATGAAACTAGAAGATGCATTATTTCTAGAGTAGAAAAATGGAAACAAGTTTTAAAATATAAAGATTTTATAATTAGTAGAACAAAAATAGAATATATAGAGTGCATTTTTAGTACAACTAGGAAAGGAAGAGAGCCTATGGTATATATTGATGGCAAAGAAATACTTAAAACTAATCATTTTTGCTATTTAGAATCAATCAATAGGCATGATGGTGAGATAGAGGATGATGTTGTGTATCAAATCAAATCAAGATGGTTGAAATGGAGGTATACTTCAGAAATCTTATGTGATCGTGAAATACTAATGAAACTAAAGGAAAATTTTTATAGACCGGTTATAAGTCCAACTATGTTTTACGGGTTAAAGTGTTGGACAATTAAAAACATGATGTTCAAAAAATGATTGTAGCAGAAATGAGAATGTTGCGATAGTCTTGTGGGTATACATTAAAAGATAGGATAAGAAATGAGTGCATCCATAGTAAATTAGATGTTGCTCCTATTGAGGATAAAATGAGAGAGATTAGATTAAAATGCTTTGGTCATGTACAACGGAGACCGCTTAGTACACTGATTAGGAAAAACAATAATATTAGAGTTAATGGGGCTAATTCTAAAGGTAGACTAGAATGACTTGATTAGAAACAACTAAGAAGAATATGATTAGAACTAACTTAACGGAGGAGATGACATATAACAAAATGGAATCGAAAAATAGAATTCATGTAGCCGACCCCAAACATTTTGGGATAAAGGCTTGGTGGTTGTTGTTGTTGTTGTCGTCTGTGAAGTTGTATGGCATTAGAAAGTGAATGTAAGAAAGCGAAAATAACTTCTCTAGAGTTTAGAATTTTTACTATATCCTATGGGTCATAGAGAGGAGGAACTTTTTGTAAGAGAGACTGCAGATGATCTTGTCACGACTACAAATTTTGAAGGTATATTAAACTCCAGCTTCTGACTAAATTTGGAGTAATAAATGTTTCTCACAACTCAACACTACTGGCCATGAAGCAACTAAGACACTGAATATAGTGAATGTTTAAATTAGTTAGTTGAATCCTAATTAAATATGCAATGTTTCTAACACAGGTTTTCAAAGATAATCATAATTCATAGGTCCTTTGGCAAAGTGGTTTCACAAGACACCACTTTGCCAAAGGTAATCCGGCGCTGATTCTGGGATACTGATACAGTGTATGGTAGCGTGGATGTATAACAGGATCTGATTGAGGCTTTGGCACATGCATGGGTATTTTCCCACCCTGTGTTTACAGTGCCGGCCAAGTTGCATGCCTGTGTATGTGTGAGGCCACACAGATGATTTGCTTTTTTAAGGGATAAAAGAGTGACTTTTCAAAACCGCGGAGGAGGGGGTGGCGCGAATGATTCTAAGTAGTTAGGGGGTCAACTTTTCCAATAAAATAATAGCTAATGATGGTAAACTTAGCTAGTTAAATGTGCAGTTCTCTCCAGGGTTTTAAGACCTCATCCTAATGAAGTCGATTGATGGTGGTACCTCATTGGAAGTCACAAGTTAAAAGCAAGACTGGAACACAGATTCTTCATAAGATCAGCAATGCAAAACAACTTAAGAGAAAATTTACCATGACAATGCATGACCAGGCACATCAATCTCAGCCAAAACATTAATTCCTCTCCTTTCTGCATAACTGCAAGATTTAGAGAAGTCTGTAAAAAACTGATCCAGAGTAAACCACTTAAGTAAGAAAAGCAGACATATAGAATGAGGATTCATTTACGGTATGAATAGGGCATAGAATTGGGAATGGCGCATTTAGAGATAATCTACTATCATTATGTTAAATAGTCAACTTAGTAACGAAAAGAAAGCAGTATGGTAGGACACAATAGTATTCCTCACACCAAACATGTTGAATGTAGAAATTGGAAAAAAATGCCCCTTTTAACTTCCCTCTCTCCATTTCCCCTCTCCTTTATTTTTTACCTTCTTTTTTTTCACTTTATTTTGATTGGGGTGCTCCCACAAGCCATGATAAAATGGTTAATTATAGTTAAAAAAAGAAAAAAAAACAGCACACTGGGGAACAAACACTTACTGTACAATATCAACAGCATCAGCTATAGTATATCGTTCTACGGAACTATATGCACCATTCCATAGTTTGGGATAGGAAGGAATTTGAAGAGGAAAAGATTGTGTATCCACAATATGCCAATGCAGAACATTCTGTATAACAGTAAAATATAGTTAATTAGAATTCATATACTGTAAAAAAAAGCATAATGCAGAGTTCATACTGAATTAATTTGTATATAGTAAAATCACTCCCAATCATCTGTAAAGTAATACAGGACAATAAATGTACAAATTTCTCAAAAGTTGCAACAGTCAAAACTGTTGGAATTAATTAAAAGAATGAGTTCTTTTGCAAATATGATATTTTGAGGGGTACATTTGCATTTTTTCCTTCCTTATCTAACTCTGTAACGCTTCGTTTCATTATCCTCCGTGTTTTCCTTTTCCGTTCTTTCCTATTTTCTTCAGAGCGGAAATCTCTCCCCTCGATAACGTCGGCGTCTTCTCCGCGACAGCGGAAATCTCTCCCACGGTAACATCGGCGTCCTCTCTGGCCTCATCAACGACAACCGGAAAAACTCTCAAGGGCTATAAAAGGGGATATCAAAGAAATATGAAAAAAAACAAGAAAAGAAAAAACAGTGAACAATTCTCAATCTCTCGCTCATAATTCTCTACAATATTTTGATTTTTTAATTTTAATTTTGGGCAAACATCCATTGAGCAAGAGATCAAAGTTTCGCAGTAAACTTTGGTGCCGGCTTTCTCGGGGATTCTTACCGCTAGGCGTAGTCGCATAAAATCGTCTCTGCGAATGTGACGACTATTATTTTAGGGTAGTGATCACACGATTACCCCTTCTCAGGCCTGCGTTTTTCTAACCCTCTTTCGAATTCTTTTGATTATTTGCAGTGTTTGTTTTATCTAACAATCTAGAACAATAGCAACATTATATTCATTCTGTTTCAAAGATTCAATCTGAAATTTTTGTTCTATTAATTTTTGCTCTGTCATTGTTTTTCTGTGCCTAATTTCTAAACCAACAATTGAATGATCAAGTTCTTGATAGTTTTGGATTCTTCTGAAGCTCCTTTTTAAAAAGAAGCCATAGATAATGAAATTAAATCTATTATAGAAAATAATACTAGGGTTTTAACTGACTTACCTCCAGGATGTAAACCAGTTGGTTGTAGATGGTTTTTCAAGAAAAAATTAAGACCTGATGGAACCATTGAGAAATATAAAGCTAGACTAACAGCAAAAGGGTATACTCAAAAAAAGGGTATTGACTATTTTGATACATACTCCCCTGTAGCTAGGATTTCAACTATTAGAGTCCTTCTAGCCTTAGCTTCTATTCACAAAGATGACTATTTACCAAATGGATGTTAAGACCGCTTTCTTAAATGGTGATCTCGAAAAAGAGATTTATATGGATCAACCGGAAGGGTTCATAGCCAAAGGTCAAGAAAGAAAGGTCTGCAAATTGATGAAATCTCTATATGGGCTTAAACAAGCTCCTAAACAATGACATCAAAAATTTAACAAAATCATTATAGAATATGGTTTTTCTATCAATGAATTTGATAAAATGTGTTTACTCAAAAGTTATTCACAATGATTGTGTTATCTTGTATTTGCATGTAGATGATATTCTCATCTTTGGGACTTCAATCGAAGTCGTTCTAGAAGCTAAAAATTATTTATCAAATCAAAGACTTTTGACATGAAAGATCTTGAAGAAGCTGATTTGATTCTTGGAATGAAAATCTCCAAAACTTCTAAAGCCATTTCTTTGAGTCTATCCCATAGCATAGAGAAAGAACAAATTTTCACTGTAGACTCAAACCAACTTTTAATTACCAAAATCGACTCATTTTTTTTAAGTATTAAAATCGACCCACTTTATACCACGTAAGCTTAATCTCATTTCCTAATTAGTCGGGGTTACCAATCCCGACTGTTTAGGAGGTTGTTAAACCCCAATTAGAACCCTTAAACCCGATTTTTAATGTCCTAAATAGTCGGGATTGACAACCCTGACTAGTTAGAAAATGTGATTAAGCTTACGTGGCATAAAGTGGGTCGATTTTGGTAATTAAAAAAAATAGGTCGATTTTGGTAATTAAAAGTTGGTTTGAGTCTACAGTGAAAATTTGTTCCACAAAGAAAATGTTAAAAAAATTTGATTTTCATAAGTGCAAACCTGGAAGTACACCTTATGATTCCTCAATCACCTTGAACAAACATGATGGTGAGTCTATATCCCAACATAGATATTCACAATTGATAGGCTCTCTTCTTTATGTGACAAATCAAACCAGACCTGACATTGCTTATGCAGTAAGTAGACTAAGTAGATACACTAGTAACCCAAGTCAGGAACACCGGAATGCATTAGAAAGAGTCTTTAGATATTTGAGAGGTACAACCGACTATTGTTTTAACTTATTCTGGATACCCTAATGTGATTGAAGGGTATAGTGATGCTAACTGGGTCACTGATTCTGACAATGTAAAGTCTACTTCTGGATTTATTTTTATGCTTGGCGGTGCTGCTATATCTTGAAAATCTTGTAAACAAACAATGATTACCAGAAGCACCATGGAGTCTGAACTTATAGCTTTAGATTCTTGCTGCTCAGAAGCTGAATGGTTGAAAAACTTTATATCTGAACTCCCTTTTATGTCTGGACCTATTCCTCCTGATATAGGTCTATTCACACGGACTCCAGATCCACTATAGAACTTTTAAAACAAAATATCATCAATAAAAAGTTGAACAGACATCCGCAGATAAGATTTAAATCTATGCAGAACCTTATGGGAAATATGTTGCCTTGGATTTTATAAAGTCAGAGAAAAATTTGACAGACCACTTGACAAAGGGTCTATCTAAGAGTGTAATCCTAGAATCATCGAGGGGAATAGGGTTAAGCCCATAGTAGAGTTCACTAACAGCGGGAATCCAACCTTTGATTGATGAGTTATTCTCATGAAAAAGGTTCAATGTGGTAGAAACAAGCTAGCTTGGTGAGCTCGTGTGGAGCACTGACTTTCGGAGTTATACTCCTTTTGTAGTGTTGGATGCATTTATGACTTACACCATGTTAGTTACTCCCTCATTCCTATGGTGACAGTGCTCTTATGATGTGACTGGGAATGATGAGTTCTACTCTTAATAAGTCTAACCTTTGTGGGGGTGTAATATCCAGTCACAGTACCCTTGGAGTGTTATGCGCAACGAAAATTTCGATAGAGTTTCTGGTGCACAATAAGAGAGAAAGATCGCAATAAGAATCCTCGTCTCACCAAGGAAATAAGAATCTGAAGCGAATATCTCAACAAAGTGAGATATCAGCTCTTCCTCTCATCAGTTCTAGGACTGATATGTCAAGGGAACCTAATAAACTATTACAATGGTCATTGTGATCTCTTCACGCGTCCACAAGCGTGGTGGCCCCCAAGCCACGTTCACATGGAGGACTTATCTACGTAAGAGAAACCGTGACGGTCGCGATTAGGGACATGGGGCTGAGTCCTAATAACTCTCATGAGACGGTTATTGTGAGCATGGCCATTATCGCTCCTATCTGCTCGCTCAATAAATGGAAGCATATTATGTGTGCTTTTGTTAATTTCTGATCAAAGGGTCTAATTCAATGTCTAATTCATTATGTCTTTCAGATTGCGACACATGTCACTAAGTAAAGATTCAAAGCCGAAAGCTATCTTTGCCGAATTCATAATATGAGGTTGCCCAACCTATATTTTGTTACCATTATCATTGTTGTTGTTATTATTATTCTTTCATTCCCCAGAACTCAATCTTTTGGGGGGATTGTTGGAATTAATTAAAAGAATGAGTTCTTTTGCAAATATGATATTTTGAGGGGTACATTTGCATTTTTTTCCTTCCTTATCTACGCTTCGTTTCATTATCCTCCATGTTTTCCTTTTCCGTTCTTTCCTATTTTCTTCAGAGCAGAAATCTCTCCCCTCCCGATAACGTCGGCGTCTTCTCCGCGACAGCATCTCTCCCGCGGTAATAACGGCGTCCTCTCCGGCCTCATCAACGATAACCGAAAAAACTCTCAAGGGCTATAAAAGGGGATCTCAGGAAAAAATGAAAAAAAAATAAGAAAAGTAAAAACAGTGAACAATTCCCAATCTCTCTCTCATAATTCTCTATAATATTTCGATTTCTGATTTTAATTTTGGGCAAACATCCATTGAGTAAGAGATCAAACTTTCACAGTAAACTTTGGTGCCGGTTTTCTCGGGGGTTCTTACCGCTAGGCGTAGTCGTATCAAATCGTCTCTGTGAAGGCGGCGACTATTGTTCTAGGGCAGTAATCACACGATTACCCCTTCTCAGCCTGCGTTTTTCTAACCCTATTTCGAATTCTTTTGATTATTTGTAGTGTTTGTTTTATCTAACAAAAACTTCTAGAAGTCTTTGTATTTTTCTTACCCAAACAAAATAGCACTTATTTTAAGAAGAAAACAAGATAAGCTGGTTAAATTCCTATAGAACTTTTAAAACAGAGAAAAGGCTTTAAAAATCTTTGGTAAATCTACGCTTAGATAGTTCATGCATGTACAACAGCATGGTGAAGAAAAGATTACAGGCAAATGAATTTGGACACAATGTGTGAATTCCATAAGTTTTGGTCAAACAAAAATCAAGAGTTGCAAATGGAAGTATTATGCTAACAAGCATTCATTTCACATTCAAAAGACTCAAAACCATAGCGGACTCTAGTTGAAAGTTGCATACCAACTTCGAATAGGTCATAGAATCAATAACACTCTTTATAACTGGCACAGGAAGATAATGTCGTGATGTATCTGCATCATACACAAACATTGTAACACATGGTATGTGGTTATTAGATCAAAATGAAATCAATGCAGACAATGTTCTCTTTGGATATCAAAATGAATAAATAGAGGGGTGCTGGATATTTCATACTATTTAACAAAAAGATACTTTTAGCCAACATTTAAAAGCACTCTCCTTTTGAATCGGGTGCCAGCAAATGCCATTTATGAAAGAAACTGAAGGGTAGCATGTCATTGGTAGGATTATTTGATAAATGTACAAATAGCACTTGCATCTAAGTGCAAGGTGCCAGAAACATTTAGTGGAAAATATAATAAAAAATATTTTATACATGAATTAACAATATAGTAAATATGAATAATTGATTATTGAAATAACATTTGCATATACTGCTTTACAAAATGTGTAGTATGCACTTTTATTTTTAAAAGCCTTTCTTTTGCTGTAGTAGTTTCATAAGGAAACTTACTTAAGATCTACAAGAAAGTAATAAAGAAGTGTTTAGGAATACTATAAGTCTATAACACAGGTGTGAGTGAAAAATATACGAAGAAAAAATATATTCAAATGGCTCACCAATTAAAAGCCCTCTATAAGGAAACCTAGGGCGATCAATGATGGTCCAGGGAGCCAAAGAAATCTCAATAGTCCCACTAGCAAGATTAATATCGCACAATTGGCTGAACGTCTGCAGTAATAGATGTTTATATTTCCACAACTGATCTAGTAATAAAAGGATGCAAATTTTGCCCTTGATGAGTATAACTAACCTGTAATGCATGAAGTGCTCCATAAACTGTCTGTGCCTGAAAAAAAAAAAAGAGAATGTAATAAAAGAAGTTGTATATCTCACTAAGTTAATTTGCCTCTGAAGTTATGATCATACAAATTGATATAAGGAGAAATGATCAATACTGACTGCCTAAATTCTTCAACAATCTCCAATTTCTGTTTCTATAGTAAGAGTTCTTTTCCTCACCTAGCAACATTTCTTCTCCGTCATTTATATTCATCAAAAGAACAATGAAATGAAGAGGATGTTCATATAATTGCCACACATGCAAGGACCAATATCAAATTTTAAATTTGATATAATGACTATCATTGATGATAATAGGATCATGGCATCATAATAGGATATATGAAGAAATAAAAAAAATCAGTAACTATATGTCCTGTACCATTGTTGTACCCATGAATAGCCAAGATATCATCAACTTCCAGCTAGCACTCAGTGGTTCGCTGTATGATTTTTAGTATATACAATAATAAGACATCTAAAAACCAAACTTTCTTTCATAATGAAGATGAAGATTCCAAGAACAAAAAAGCCAATGAAATTCTCAAAAAAGACAAAAGATCAAGGTCTTGGTCTACCAAAAAGCATTGGTAGATAAAACTTAAAATGTTTTGTCAAGAAATGAATTGAAAAAATTCTCTGTAGGCGTCAAAAAATACCTATAGGTGTCCGAACACGGCTCGAGACAGAGAGAAGACAATAAATGTCATCATTTGAGTCAAATAGGATCATTCAAGACCGTATAGAAGCTAACGAGCGCATGAAGCAAGTCAGCGAGGCGTACAAGTCAACAAAATGACAAAAGACGCAGAACGACGAAAAATAAAAGTCCGGAAGGCTAAAAATGACTAAGTCTCGAGCTCCCGCGGCCCCGCGGGACGCGGGGACACCATTTGATGTCCCGCGCCCCGACGGGACACTATTTGGTGTCCCGCGCCCCCGCGGGACGCGGGGACACCACTTGGTGTCCCGCACCCCCGCGGGACACCAGAGTCTGCCGCGCGCGCCAACTGCCCGAAAACATGTTTTTTTTATATATTTTCTCGGGATTTGTTCGTTCCAGAGCTTCCCAACTGATTGGATATCATCCACAAACATGATTAGACCGTTGTCAACTGAAGATATGATCAAATCTCTCATTCTTATCTAAATACCCCGCATCCGGAGCCCTATAAATATAAACCTAGAGCCTCCTTTCAGAGGGAGTGAATTATTATCAAGACGAGGAGGTGTTGCCAAGTTGGAGAGCAATGGAGCACAAATTTCAGAGGAGGTTAACAGATCTCGGCGAAGTTCTTCAGCATGAAGAGGGAGAGTTCGAAGGATCTGAAGCCCCGTCCGTCGTTCCTTGAGATTAGGCTTAGTCTTAATCTCGAGAAGAGCTACTGATTTCGCTTGGTCGATTTCAGAGCTTCAAGCGAATACTTCCTTGGTGAAGTAGGAGCTCTATCAATTTTCCGTCAACCGGATCCGATCCGTAGGCGGTCCACGGATAAACCCCGTCACTGACAAAGATCCCGCGAAAGCAATGGTCGATAAACACCTGTTGTGTGTTGTTTGAAGAAATTATAATCTTATATTTTCATTGTGTAAGAAGATCTTATAAAAGGATCGACTTTTTATTTATTTGAGTTTATTGTAACGGCTAAAGTTGTAATAGATTCGATGACAATAAAAACAACAATTTCTGACCCAAACATTCTCAAAAAATGATATTTAAAATGCAGAAAACTTCACAAAAGGAGCAACCGAATTGTTATAACCATCAGTCTCTATTTTATACACCTTCTTGGAAACTGTTGGGTAGCATTGCGTACATCAATTTACACTAAAAGCATCTTACCCTTCTGTAAAACAACATAAAATGTTAGTAAACTAAAAAACTAACAGTACCAACCTGGATAAGGGCATATATGGGATTTCCAGTCGCTGGAACCGACAGTTTGTAGGATTCATCAACGTTGTAGTTCAACTGCGCATCAACCAACAGAAAAAAGTTTTAGATTTGCGCGACCGAAAACCCAATAAGGGGCTATTGAAGTTTATAAACAGTAATATTTTGTATCGTGGCCCGAAAAGTTATCAAAATTTCGGCTTTCGCCCATGACAAAAAAATCCTCAATTCCCCATGTAAATGAGTCTCCATTACCGTATCTTCACCATGCAAGCTACAAATTTTGACAATCAAATTGGTACGACGCATGCTCTCACCTCGTCATCGGGGGAGAGGATGACGACACGGACACCGGCGAGAAGACCGGAGCCCGAGGGGCCCCCGTCGACGGCGTGGCCCGCTTTGATCTCGTCAAGGACCCTCGAAAATGCGTCCTTCAGCACCCCAGACCCATCGGCATACCTGCTCCCTTCGCTCCTCAGCTCGAGCCCTTCACCCAAACGCACGGCCTTGCTGCCTCTGCTGGAGAGGCTTCAGGCGGAGATCCCGAAGATTACGAGGCAGATTTGGAGCAAGGTTAGTCACCTTTTTTTTTTTTTTTGCATTTTCAAATTGCTAGTCCTGACCACTATTTGATATTTCAGGGACAGTGACCAACAGTGAAGACGAATTCCGTCCTTTTAACAGATTGACCCCGCCGGCCTCGGCGCGGGAACCCAAGAGGAGGAGGATCCCGAGCAAAACACCCAGCGAAGTTGCCATTTTTGATGGGTTGGAGAAGCAAAAAGGAGGCAGCTTTTTTATTGCATTTTGGATATTTAGGTCGAGGGAATAAATTTTGGTTCCCAGTCCAAAAGGAAGGAGACAGGATTCTCCCCACTCTCGAAGAGGCCGGGGCTATTCTGGGAAGGAAATGGGTATTTTGGGAATAGCAGCCGAAGACGGTGAGAGCCTTTTAATGGGTACAGATTCTCTGAGATCTGCGAGAAGACGTGGGAGGGATTTTACAGGGGCATTACGGGAAGAGAAGTCACGTGATCCAACTAATCTAAACTAAAAAAAAACATTAGAAGTTGTAATTATTTTGGCGGGGGGGTGGGAGCCTTTAATGGGTACAGATTCTCTGAGATCTGCGAGAAGACGGAGGAGGGATTTTACAGGGGCATTCTGGGAAGAGAAGTCACGTGATCCAACTAATCTTAACTTAAAAAAAACATTAGAAGTTGTAATTATTTTGGCGCGGGGTGGGAGGGAGGCGTGTTGTCCGTTGCTGTGTTTGGTTACCGGCTCCCCATCCGTATCCCTGCTCTCTGTGAGAGTTGGTTGGGTCGGTTTTTAAACTACTCTTTTGTCAAACCGGGTCGAACCGGTTTAGATTTAAAAATAAACTGAACCAAATCAAATCGATTTCGATGCGCTCGGTTTGCTTCGTTTGGCTTATGTCTAGTCATGTCAAAATTAGAGAATAATTAGCTGAGGAACAATACCCTTACTCCTTTAAGCATCTCGCTCGTTTTGTATCCGGAGTTCAAGAGAAGACTCGTCAAAACGATTACTCTATAATATTTATCAACTAAGATGCGTAAAAATATTACTGTAATTTCCTTTCGCCTAGAAAGACCATGACTTCTTGACATTTCTGTTGAGAATGGCCGGCTAATCGATTTAGTTATTTTGAATTTCAAAATTTTGAAAATTAAATCGAAGATATAATTTTCTTAAATTGAACCGAACCACCGAAATTCGGTCTGTTCGACCGGTTTAATCGGTTTGCACCTATTTATGCTCACCTCCACCACCACATGAGGTCATTAGTTTTCATTAATGATTTTGATATTTTTTTGAACAGTTGTGTTATTTCTATCAATGTTTTGGTACGGATGTGAGAATGATGGATGGAGGCGGACCTTAATTGTCTGCTAATAAATATAAGTGCACTCATTTTTATCATCATCATTCTAATTAATAATATCAAGAAAGTAGCACGGTAATGATGTTCCTATTAGCACTTTCAAAAAGTAATGCTGATAAATTCTACTTGCTAACAAAATAGGAGAAATTTTAAAAACTGACCCCTTTATAGCTTTATTCAATAAAATCGATCCATTTTAGACTTATTTACAAAAATCGACCCAGTTTTAATTAGATCAAAGGATTTCTTTCTAATTAATCGGGGATGCCAATTCTAACTCTTATTTGGGGGAATAACTACTTTGAAAATTTCATAACTGCTTCACCAAATTCAACAGAGATGTGTTCGATATGAAGAAGAATTAAGGTTCTGTACTAATAATTAGGATTAATTTATACATTATAGAGCGTGTTTAGTATGAATGTACGAACTCTTACGATTACTGTAGCCCTTAGATTTTACTGCTTTGTTGCTTTCATTTGGGCTATTCGTCTCCTATTTATCCAAGTAAAAGGTTGTGATTTCTTCATGCCGTGTCTGGCTTCTACCCCTCTATTCAAATGGGAGAACCCAAGTTTTACTGTTCATGCTACAGTAAATATTAATACATCGTTTTAAAAGGAAAAATATTGTAACAGAGGCGGGAACTATAGTGTTCTTTGAAAATACTATAACATTAATACTGTAGCACGGGGTATACTGTAATAATTTAAAAACGCGTGATGCTGTAGCAATTCAAAAGGAAAAATATTTTGTACCTACCCTCCTATCAAATCAAACATTAAAAGAAAATCATTTGATACTATGAACGTCTTTCACCTTTAATGGTATGGGTAGAGCCCTTTAAAAATGTTGGTGGAAGATCACTTTCTTTACAGAGTGGCGATATCATCCTATACACAACAAGAGTGGATGACATATTTCACACAGGGTCATGAAATTTATCGTGAGACATTGAGAGTTTCATACATTGATACAAAGTTCTAACCACACTTGGGATATTCCATATCGATTGTACTGATTTAGAATTGATAGTATCATGACCTGTGTCGCTATCTCCGCCCCCGATATGATCTATAGATCCAGAAAGCAAAAGAAAAAGTTGGGCGACAGAATAATAAGAGACGGTTCAGGAAAGTTATGAATAAATACTGGATGATGATGAGGAAGCACAATTATGCTTCCCATGGTTTAGAGGAAGCTTGCTCTTTAGAGTGTAATGAAGCAACTCGTGCCAAGCATAAACCTTTAAACATCAATGACAATTTCTGCAATACTATAAAGCAGGGAGATCAGATTTCTCGCCTTCGTTTTCTTTATCTACTAAAATGCTATACACGTAACAATTTCATCATAGTTAATAAAACAACCAATCTAACATTTAAAGCATGTAATCTCCTCCACAGAGCACGATAGTACATTCCAAACTACATGATACGTATGTACACAGTGAAATATCATGGAACATCATGAGGTACCCCCAAGTGAACCCTTTGAAGAGACTTAACCTCTGCTAACCTGAAGGAAACACAGATCTATCAATGGATTTGTGCAAGTGATACATGCAGACGATTGTTAAGAGTAATATTGATTACCATCACCTTTTCTTTTATTCTCGTGGTCCAAGAATCATTACGGACCGCAGGATGCGGATCGATAACATATGGGGTGTACTGCACCTGGTTTCTGAGGAGTGGGAGCCTTGCAGGTACGTACTCATCGTCGCTGTCGTAGAAGCTGCCCTGGTCTGGACCAAGAGCTCTGAGAACCATAGCTAGGAAGATAGAGAACGCCTACAATAAGTATAGAAGGCATGATGGTTGTTATTATGGCAATCTTGTTTATTATTCATGAGGAGAAATGAGAGTAGAAGGTATAATTCACAAAAGTTATGTGAGCAAAATGACATGTTTAATTTGCATTTTAAGAGCCAAAAGGTATAGAATGAGATTTGTAAAATGATATGTAGTTTTTAGGTAATTACAACAACAAGAAAGCCTCTATCCCAAACTTTTGTGATATGCTACATGAATATTATTCTTCCATCCATTATGGAAGATCTCCTCTGTAAGTTAATTATTATCATATCCATCTTAATTGCTTCATCAACCAAGTCCTTTTGATGTATCTCTAGTCCTCTTTGCCACATTAACCTATCCTCTTAGCTGATTATAGAACAAAAATTCAATCATATATCCATACGCTTATGGCTTTTTATGATTTAGCTTATGATACAAGGCTGTCAATTTACATGCCTAACCAGGCTACGAAAAGCCACATAGACACTGAGACAGATGGTACGACCAATATATTAACACTCGAGGGAAAATATTGCTCTGGCAGGTAAAAGGCTAAAAGCTCCTAAGAAGAGACGGGGGAAGAAAAAATTTATGCAATTTCAGAGTTGTTGCACTTAGAACCAATTACTTAGGTATATTTGGCGAGGGAAGGAACAAATCATGAAGATGCTTTCTCTCATGCAGAAAAGTGATAAAAAGGAAAAAAATAATTGTTTCTCCTTGAAAGTATTCAAGTAAAAAATATATCCGCATTTGTTCCCAAGCCTGTCACGTCAATCAAAAGAGATATAAGTGACCAATAAAGGGACGATCAATAGTAAGAATAATGGGCTTAATAGACTTGATAGTGTTTTCCTTAAAATTGTTTGAATAATAACATACCTGTACACCAACGATACCCAAGCCAATCCATTTGCACATTTCAAAGTTTGATTTCACAAAATTCTTCAACTCGTTGAATCTCCCTGTATCATCCTTTGGGAAATCCTGATGTCGGAATTTAAAACCAAATTTATAACTACATAATTTCGTAGACATGTGATACGACAAAAATGACAGAGCAATGGAAGATATCATGGGTACCTCTTCCCAGTTCCTATTCAAAAATATGTCTGCGGTTACAGCAGCCTCCAGCATAATGAGCAAAAAGACAAATACCATGTACTATATAGTTCACATCAAGGTTAAGGAAAACAAGTAAAATTGTCTTTCTCAGGTTAAAAGTTCCCATAGACAGTAATATGGTACCTTACCTAGGCCTTAATTATACTCGAGAAAAAAGACACACTAATCAATGAATAAATTGAGTTACTGGGGTGAGAACTTTCATTTAAAACTAATGCTTGCTAGGTTGGCTCAGTGTCAAACATCACCAATCCACAATTTAATTAGTAGATAATATAGAACTCTCTTGAACATAGGATAGAATTAGGCCTTGAATTTCTGTAAGAGTATGTTGTCATATAGTTATTGATAGAGTTATGTCTCCTCCGAATTTTCAACAGTGATGTGTCTATCCATTGGGTTGCAAACATCTCACAGCAATCTAAAGAATTACCAATTTGAAAATAATAAGATCACAATTGTACAAACTTATGAAACAAATCAGTGCGAAGAGTAATAAGTCATTGGCCAAGTATGATATCTTCTTGATTGAGTATATGACATGCAATAAATTAGCCGAGTAGTGATAGATGGTATCGTGACATTTGACATCGAAGAACCTAAGCTGTTGACAACTTCATCACAAGCATCAGCTATGCCTTCTGGGTCTTGTTTCAAGCAGAAGACTTCATGGAAGGCATAGATGGAAATTAACCGGAAGCCCCCAAGACTTGTTGGTCATGTAGTTTAAAATTTTGCAACCAAGGAACAATTCTCCAGAAGTCCCCTAGACTTAGAAAGAAGACGGACTTAATGTCAATACAAAGAGGCACAGATGAGGCCCAATGGCCAACAGAATACATTCAACAAAAGGGAGGACCAAGCAACAAACTGAATCAAGGAGCAAAGTCGCAGTATGATCTTGCAAGTGAACTTCTAGTTCATCAGAATCAAATACGATACTTGTTTGCAATGTTACATTAAACGCTAGGCGCTTCTAGACGTCGGACTTGGCGCCCAGCATTTAATCGCCTAGGCGGGCGCCTAAGCGGTTTTTGGGCATTTTTATTTTTATTTTTTTAATTGTGATACTTGAAGATAAATATATATATACTCAATCAAAGATGCATAAATACTAAAATACTAACACTATTAACTAAATTGTTTGGTTTACCAATTACAATAGCTCTTTATATGATAAATACTAAAATACTAACACTATTAACTAAATTGTTTGGTTTACCAATTACAATAGCTCTTTATATGATTATACTTCTCAACTCAAATTATAAGTTCATCTCAACAGTAAAAAACTCATTCTCAACTCAAATTACTGTTAACTTTTAAGTTACTGTTAAGTTGAAGTTAACAATAAACTTAAACTTAAGTTTACTGTTAACTTAAGTTTACTGTTAACTTAAGTTTACTGTTTACCTAAACTTAAGTTTACCATCAATAAAAAACTTAATATTAACTTAAACTTAAACTTAAGTTTACTGTTAGCTTAAACTTAAGTTTAACTTAAAATATTAACTTAAACTTAAACTTAAGTTTACTGTTAGCTTAAACTTAAGTTTAACTTAAACTTAAACTTAAACTTAAGTTTACTGTTAACTTACACTTCTTAAGTTTAAGTTACTATTGTTAACTAACTTAAATAGATATTTAAGAAGTTACTCTTTACCTTGTTAGTAGTTACAGAAATCGGGGGAGCTCGGCAATGTTACAGAAGGCGCAAGGCAGACTAGGCGTTTGAGCTAGCGCCTAGTGCCTACACCCCTAGGCGTACGCCTAGGCGCTGCCTAGGCGTTTGACTATTTTTAAATTATTTAATTATAATAATTGATAAAAATATGTATTAAATTCATATAAATTTTAAAAAAAAGATAACAATCTTAGTTCCACAATAAATCATGCATACTTAGATACTAAATAGCCAAAACAATAATTAACAAGACTAGAGCCTAAGATGTTTTTTTTTTATTTTTAATTACAATAATTGATAGTGAATGTCAATGTTAAGAAAGCTTAGATGCCGGACTGGTGTCTAGACGGATTTCTTTCTTCATTTAAATGGTGATCGATGAGGTTTTGCTGAAGGTCGGAGGAGGTAGTGGAGGTGTTCATATTTGGAGGTTAATGGAGTTTTGAGGACGTATAGACTACAACACATAAAATTACAACCAATGCCTATAGGGTGTAATCCACATAAGCAGACAATGCTCCCCTAAACACTCGTAAAATCTAGGTGGGCAGCCTAAATACTGCCTAGGCGTTAGGTGCTAGTTAGGCGGCCTAGGTACCGCCTAAGCCTAGGCGTACGTCTAAGCGGACTAGGCGGAGGTTTTTTAAAACAGTGCTTGTTTGGAATAATAATTGCAAAACATTATCGATTAAGGTTATTTTTTCCTCAAAGCCGTGAATAATACTCAAAAAAGTGTTAAGGGGTTTCTCCAAAAGCTAAAAAAATTTGCACTAGATTCACACTCCACATATTTCTGGTAGCAAGGTAGGAAGAATAATTATGACTAGAGAGAAGGAACAGTGGGAAGTGTTGAAGAAAAAAAACATAGCATATAAGTTGAAGCCTTCACAACACTTTTTGTTTGTTAGTAGGAAACATAGCACAAGAGTTCATCGAGTGCAACCTTAGTTCTTCAATCTGAACACAAAGTTCGCCAAGAAGATCTAGAACAAGTTTGCTTGCAGAAACATGAATAATCATGACTAAGTTGAAAAGAAAACACTGGAAAGTGTCTAAAGATTACGAGGTTCTGACAAAACAATTTTTCTACTGATCAAGAAGGTGTTTGGCCGGGCTTATTCTTATAAGCTTTTAAGCTGTATTAGTTTTGATGGCTTTGGCTTTTACTATAAGCATTGTATAAAAACTTTTTTTAGTAGAATAATAATTTGTTTGGTCAAACCTAGCTTATCTAAGTGAGCTTATAAAATAGTTTTTGATAAGCTGGGGTACACCACCTTAAAATGGGAATTATAAGATGACTTATTTGATATTTTACCAAACAGGTAGATATGAAAAACCAAACTTAAATGCTAGTTTGACCAAAAAATAAGCTCCCCCAAACACCCTCATGAGTAAAAGAAGAAGAATATAGAGGACAAAACTTCAAGAGATCATCAGGAAAATCCAAGCACCCCAAGAGTATCAACTGTAAATATTGTCTTAATACAGTAGAATGCAGAACCACAATTGTCATAATCTACAGAAAATGTTAGTCTTAATCAGAAAAACTAGCAGAAGTGTTTCTTGTAAAGAAGGAGAAAATTTCCTGGTTGCAAAAGGATACACAAGAAAGGCAATGACCATTAGTGGTTTCTGCAGCAATATGACCAGAGCAAGTTATCAAACACAAGGAAACTCCAAGGCCAAGGAAAGTGTAGATAAACCTGCATGTTCACAGATATCATGGAAAATTCAGATTAACTGGTCCAGAAACATCATTTGTTTCCTTAGCTCCTATGACAAGGTCTAATTTTGAATTTCAAGAGCATAGTCATCTTCTAAAAGATGGCAATATCAGATTCCTAGACTCTGATATATCAAATGCTTATCATGTATATGTCTCAAGCTATAATAGAAATATGTATGTTAAATAGTACCTGGACCGCAGTGGACGTTTAGAACAAGAAAATTTCAATTTCTATACTCATACATGATAAGTTTCACTGAATGTATATATGCTTATAAAGACATATTTTAATTGGTTTAGTCATAATAAAAGGATAATTTTAACTTTGACGGAAGCATAAACACATTAAAAAAAAGTGAAGGGATTGAAATGAAAGAAGATTGTATAATGAAGTTGAATACATTCAACAACAAATGTATTATACCAAGGCAATTCCTGAAGTCTAAATACTATTTCATTGAGGTTTAACACTAGTATCTACTACCTACAGTGACAGGCTGACAGCAAACAATTAATGTACTGGAAGCTGTTAAATATGAGTGTAAATGGACATTTAAAATATCTGAATTGGATGGATTCAGATATAGAAACATATCGGACAAATATAACCAGGGAATTCCAGTGTCTGGTTGGAGTTTAACATAATTAATTCACAAAGGTGCCAAATGCTGAGTAATGCATTTGGTGCTGATAAGTAGGCAGATAAATGGATAGAGAAATCTCCAATTTTGATCGATTCAATATAGAAATTTATCTGGCTAATATAATTTTTAGGAGAACTCCAGAGAGTCAAAATATGTTTAACTGGAGTTTAACACTGGTCTCCTGAGTGTCAGAAGAAATATATTGGAAGCTGATAAGTATGGATGTAATTGGATAAAAATATGCAAACTGGGCAAGTGTTAGGTCCCCAAAACAACATATCATGCAGGATTGATATGTACATGTATGTGTACGCATACGCGCACACACGAAACATATACTACACATTATATAATTACTAAATTTAGCTTAATGAAAAATGTAGCTAAAAATAACATTATATAGTTTTATGTTATACAAAGGGCTTTACACAGAAAGGTGGCAGATATTTGGATATTAAACATGCAAAAAGTAATTCTGATAATTTACAATTTCTGAAAGTATTCACCAAAACCAAATCTGGTCAAGATTCTCAACATCTGTTCCCATATTGAATCAAATACAGAATTCAAATTCAACAAGATAACAATTGATTGTTACACGATAGGCAGTTCAATGGGAGCCTAAAGCAAATTATGAGAGTTCTCTTTTAATAAAACAGCTTAGAAAATATGCATGTACATGACAGATTCAAAAGTTAAAACCAGTTTCTGTTTGTTGGAAATTTGAAGTAAAAAGACAATGAAAGAAAAATTGACTTGTATTCCTCTCAAAATCGATTACAATTTGGATTCCGATTACAAAAGAGAGGAGAATGAATTTGATTCTCCCCTTTGTTTAATTCTGGGTTCTTCACGGTGGCGATGAGATGCCTCCCTCGAATGCTCGCGTCGAGTTTGCTTCTCGTTGACGATCCGAACGTCTTGATTCACTGGAACGATGTCTTCTCCTCACGATTTGACGCTGTGGAGAACTTGCGTGGCAAGTTTGAAGATAACTCTTGACGAGTTGATAACTCTGAACGAGTTTTAGAAGAACTTGCAGAGCAAGTTTTGAACTCTGATCGAGTTGATAACTCTGACGAGTTTTAGAAGAACTTGCAGAGCAAGTTTTGAACTCTGATCGAGTTGATAACTCTGACGAGTTTTAACTCTTGAAAAAGAGTTGATTTGAACCGAAAGTTCGTTATAAGCCAAGGCCGAATAATTTCAAAGGCTTCAATAAAAGCCTTCCAAAATGATTCAAGAGCTCCTTCAAGTCGCTGATCTCCAAAGCTCGCCAAAAAGCCAAAAGCCTTCTCTCCCAAGCCAAAATCCCAGCCCGAACTCAGTTGAGTTTTGAGGTATTTATAGGGGATTAAGGGTATAACCGCCCCCTTAAATATCTCCTTAATGGGCTGAGTGGGGTGTAACTGCCCCCTCTTAAACAGCTCCCTACATCGTGGGGAAGACGGTTTTGAAACAGTACTGTTAGTGTTTTGAACGAGTCAAAACGCTGAAAACAGCGTTCTGGGCCTTAACTCTGCGTCTTATTGATGAGACGCAGAGTTAGGCACTTGCTGGGAGTTGAAAACGCAAGGTTCTCTTGCGTTTGGACCTAAACTCTGCGTCTTAAAGATGAGACGCAGAGTTGGGCGCTCGCTGGGAGTCGAAACGCACAGGCCGCATGCGTTTTAGAGATGAACTCTGCGTTTTAGGCTAAAAACGCAGAGTTGGGCCTGTTTAAAGGCTGAAAACGCACAGTTGTGCTGTTTTAGAGATTAACTCTGCGTTTCTAGACTGAAAACGCAGAGTTGAGCCTGTTTAAAGGCTGAAAACGCACAGTTGTGCTGTTTTAGAGATTAACTCTGCGTTTCTAGACTGAAAACGCAGAGTTGAGCCTGTTTAAAGGCTGAAAACGCACAGTTGTGCTGTTTTAGAGATTAACTCTGCGTTTCTAGACTAAAAACGCAGAGTTGAGCCTGTTAACGGCTGAAAACGCACAGTTGTGCTATTTTAGCGATTAACTCTGCGTTTTGATGTTGAAAACGCAGAGTTGAGCATGTGCGCTTTGACTCTGTAATGCAGAGGCGAACCTTAGGCGGGCTTGGCGGGCTTCAGGCTGAGTTCAATGTTCTGACGAAGTCCAGTCTTGCAGACGGACTTCAGAACACAACTTGCTACGAAGAACAGGTCATAACTTTCAAACCGCACGTCAGAATTGGACGAATTACATATGAAAATCGGCTATCTCGACGAGACGGGGCCATCCGAACCAAGCCGAAGGCTTCGGTTCGCTTCCTCCGTTTGGCCAAATTCCTTACGGTTTGAGAGATATCTGCATTCTAATATGAAGAGACCGTCAATTTGTAGTCTCTTTTGCTAGAGCTTTGCACAAATCGTCCTCTTGTAATCTTCGTCTTGGCTTCTTGAAAATATGAGAGTCGTCAGATTATAACTCCCGATGTTGATTGTGAAGGCTATTGAATTGGAGTTTTCATCAGTTGTCGTGAAGGTCCTCAAATTGTAGCCTACTGGAAGTCGTCAGATTGTAACTTCCATCATCGGTGTTTGATGGGGGATCAACTATCTATTGTGATTTTTAGACAGCCTACACAAATCTTATAGATAAAGAAAAACCACAGAAAGGAAATTAGAATACTTTCAATAACTAAAAGTTTGAACAAAAATTGATAGATTTTAGGCAACAAGAGGAACTCTACGTGAAAATCCTCAAATTGTAGCTTTCTGGAAGTCGTCAGATTATAACTTCCATCATCGGTGTTTGATGGGGGATAAGCTATCTATTGTGATTTTTAGACAGCCTACAGAACCCCCTCCAAAGTTTTCGAAAGTTCGCGGTTGACTGGGACGAATTTTCGGAATACTTTGGATCTCAACTCTGATCTTGGACCAATAAAAGAAACACATACAACCAACGAGAATCTTTTTGTAGATTAGAGAAGATAAGAACAAAATCCAACCATACCCATTTTAGTGAAGAAAAACAACAAAAACCCAACAAATTACTACAAAACAACATGTTAGATGCCGTCAGACTCTATAGAAGCAAAAGGAAAACAACAAAACCAATGATACCAAAAATCTAAACTTAGCAAAAATAAAATCTAACAAATGGAGGCTCCCAACTATGTTTGTAGTTACACACATACTATAAAAATTAAAAAAAAACGAAATGAAACAATAATCTAAATATATTAGCATGCCTGCCCCCAACAAATGGGCATCAAAACAAGACAAATGAGCAAGAACAAAAAACTCTCAACCAGCAACCATGTCATACCTTTGAATAGAATCACTCCTAAACGATTTCAGCGGACAAAATATCAGAAATAAAGTCGATTCTATCTCTCAGACATTTAAATTCCTAACCCAGATACAGACTCCCCCAAATAACGAGTTTCTAATCTTGGAATCAATTCCCTCTGCAAGATGCAAGATTAGTGGGTTTTGTCAGAGGTGTATTGTTAACGTGACAAGAATTTGGAGTGATGCAAACTGAATGCATACTCTGTGGGGATGATGATCGTCAGAAGTGTAATGTTAACTCGACGATGTGAAAGATTCGTTACTCTTAATCCAGTGGATTCCAAGTAACCAACCCCCAGTCTTGATGAAGACTTAGCAGGGGAATAAAAAAGAGGTAGACAAGGCACATCACCTAGTGGGGCCCTATCCATGAAGTCTGAATAGAGTCACATCACCAGGTAGGCCATTATCTGATGAGTTTGACTATCAGAGGTAACTGTTAACATGATAGTTGTTGGACCCGCCATCCTACTGAAGAGGATTGACTTCTGTGGCCGTAGTATCTTTCCCTTCTGACTGGGAAGAGTAAGCCTGGTCCAGTTGCTCAGGAGAAGATTGGGCTTGGTCTGATTGCTCAGGTTGATCCTGCCTACTTGGTTCTTCAGCTTTGATCCTGGCAATAATTTTTTGAGCATGCTCGCCTTGAGAGATTAGTTGTCTCCAGGAACGGCATTCTACAACTCCTATTCGAGCTAGGAGGTCGGTTTGTAAGTTGTGTCGACAGGTTTGTACTAGGGTAGACTGTGTCATACCTGTCGGACAACGCAAAGCCATATTTCGAAACCTTTTGACGAAGGCTTTGACTGATTCCCTCTTCTTCTGCTTAGTAGCGAGAAGGGTATGGATGGAGACTTCTGTATCCTCTTCAAAGAATCTTGACAGGAAGAGTCTCTCTAGATCCGCCCACTTTTGGATACAGCCCGCAGGCAGTTTCCTGAACCATTCAAAGGCAATTCCCTTGAGGGTGCCAATGAACAATCGAGCCAGTATGGCATCGTTCGATATTATATTTCCAGTCTGTGACTTG